TGGCTTTATTCTTGTGAGGGGATTTGGGTCTCCACCACCCAGACAGGTGAGGGCCGGGCCTGGAGCCTGGAGCCTGAAGGTTATCTCAGTCGTGCTGTTTGGAGTATAATTCCAAATGTATTGAATGCACTGGACTCCAAGATGTGTTACTTTTCACAGTTACCACTTTTTTTTTTTTGCCAGTACTGGGGCTTGAACTCACAGCCCAGGCACTGCTCCTTAGCTTTTTCACTAAAGGCTGGCTCTCTACCACTTGAGCCATAGCTTCACATCTGGCTTTCTTGGTAGTTTCTTGAAAATGGGAGTCTCATAGACTCAAACTATGATCCTCAAATCTGAGCCTCCTGAGGAGTTAGGATTGGAGGAGGTGTGAGCCACTGGCATCTGGCTCAATCTTCTCTCTGTTTAGTGCTACCACTCTAGTTCTCTGCAGAGGTGGAGAGAATTAGAGGCAGGAGAAGAGTCAGTCACTCATTGGGAGGTCTGAGAGAAAAACAGAATAACCAAGAAAAGAAACAGACACTTAAATGCCATTAACAAGAAAAGTCTTTGCATTGATCCTGGCTGGTTCCCCAACCCAGTGCTTGGAAATGCAGTTCTCATGCTATTACAGAAAAGGAATAAGGAGGGGCTAGGGATGTGGCTCAGTGGTAGAGTGCTTGCCTCTAGCATGCCTGAAACCCTGGGTTCGATTCCTCAGCACCACATACACAGAAAAAGCCAGAAGTGGCACTGTGGCTCAAGTGGTAGAGTGCTAGCCTTAAGCAAGAGAAGCTCAGGGACAGTGCTCAGGCCCTGAGTTCAAGCCCCAGGACTGACAAAGAATAGAGCCAAACACCCCTGCTGGATACAGGACGTCTGTCCACCACTGAGTCTCGGGGCCCTGACTTCTATAATGAGGGTGGAGAGGTGAGTCTGTATCATCCCCAGCCTCCCTGCCTCCCGTGGCTGGGTGGTCAGACCTGCCTTCAGTCAGGGGTTAAAGTTCAGGGTCAAAGTGTGGGCAGGATCGGTTCCTCCTGAGCGCAGGGGGGAAGCTGTGTTCAGGCCCCCCTGCTCGCAGCGGCCATCTTCTTCCCGCCCAGCTGCGGCCTCCACTTCCTGTTGGGCCCAGTGGGCCTGTTGATGTCACGCGGCCCTGAGGTGCTGCACGCTTGGTGTGGGGCAGCGTGGGGCTGCCTCTTCCTTGTCCTCTTGGTGGCGTTGTCTCTGCCAAGAGCCCTGTGATGAACGCCGGGCGGTACCCCTGGGCGTCATCAGGCCTGCATCTGGCAGAGGCCCACTGCCTCTGGGGACAAAAACACCTTCAGAAATGGATGCGGGATGTGCCAGTGTGGAGCGAATTAGCCTGTCCAGAAAGCCCGCTGGGGTTGGCTTTGCCCTGCTCCTGATGGGGTAACATGGAGATCCCCCCGTCCAATTCGCAGATAAGGGAGACACCCGGCAATAGGCCCTGTTTGGTGGACATGTCAGAGGGCTGTGCAAGATGTCTTATGAGCAGGCATCCTCTGCAGGCCCCCTCAGGTGAAACGGGTGCTTCTCTGCTAGGGTACGAGCCCAGCCAGGACTCGGGAGCCTGCGTCCCCTTCGATGGGCGCCGTCACACCTGCGGGGCTCCCGGGCACCGTGAGGCGGAGCTGCTGAGCATGTCGCAGGAATCTGGGCGTCATTGGGCTCAGGGCCGGCGTCCAGGGGCTTCGGCTGGAGGACATACTGGTCCCTCCTGTGTCCCAGGGCTTTGCTCAGTGACAGAGGCTGCTTGGATGATGGTGGCCCAGTTCCCCCATTCTGAAGAGCCCCTGGCGCGTTGGAGGAGCTAGCTGGCAGGCCACTCGCAGCCCTGTTGATGAGCCACATCCACAGCAACTCCATTCCTGAGAATTGCCGATGAATTCAAGCGTTTCCAAGACCAGCTTGCCGCCGCCCCGACTTGGGCTTGGGAAGTGGGTGCCCCCCTCCACAAGGCCTTCGGCCCCACCAGACCTGAGACTGTCTTGGAGCACAAAGCCGGGTGACCACAGTCCAGAAAGGCTGCTGATCTGGAGTGTGGCTTAGGACACAAATCTGCTGGAAGGTGGAAGAAAAGAGGAGGCTTCCTGCTGTACCAGGTCCAGCACCAAGCGAGGGCTCAGATGCAAGGCCTTCTTGCAGGAGCTGGTGGCCGTGACAGGTGGAGGCCAAGCTCCTCCTCCTCCACTCCACCACTGCAGCCAGGCCAGCTCAAGACCTGATCGGCCAGGACAAAGGGAGACGGTGGCCAAGGTCTCAAAGTGTCCCTGGGCGCCCAGTGGCTGGCCAGCTCCCAGGTGTCCATGCTGCCTCTGCCATGTGTAAGCCAGATGACCTCACAGCCACCCAACCCCTCCTGACCTGAAGCCCCGCCCCGACACGCCCAGCTCCCACACCAGCCCGGGGCCCAAGCCACCTGCCCCTGCACAAGACAGGATTCCGTGCTGTGCACTGAAGGGAGGCGGTGCCGTCTGCTGTCTGCAGTCTGACGGGGCTGGGAACTGGGGTTTCAACTCAAGTGCTTGCACTTGCTAGGCAAGCACTCTACTCCTTGAGCCACGTCTCCAGTCCTTTTTGCTCAGACTATAGTGACTCTGGTCAGAACTTGCTTTATGCCCAGGCAGACCTGGACCACGATCCTATGTCCTGTGTAGCTGAGAAGAAAGGCATGCGTCACTGTGCCCAGCTATTGGTTGAGATGGGGTTTCTCAAGCTTTGTGTCTGCGAAAGCCTCAAACTGCAATCCTCTCAGTCTCTGCCTCCTTAGTAGTTAGGATTACAGATGTGAGCCACCGGCTCATTATATAATCAGAAACCATGAGGGTGATGACTTCCTGGTGATTCTCTCACTCTTGTTCTGTCTCTCTGTCTCTGTCTCCCCATCTCTCTCTGTCTCTGTCTCTGTCTCTCTCACCGCCTTGGGCTGTTGCCCTTTGTTACAGCGGCCCTATGAAATCCACTCGGCCACGCCCATCGATGAAATCCTGAACATGTTCAAAGTGGAGCGCGTCCACTACTCCTCCACCTGGTGCAAGGGCATGGTGGCCCTGCTGAAGAAGGTAAGGGGCTGCCCCACCCACCAGGGGCCATGCCGGGACACAGGCACACCGCCACCAGGGGGCATGCCGGGACACAGGCACACCGCCACCAGGGGGCATGCCGGGACACACACAGGCACACCGCCACCAGGGGCATGCCGGGACACAGGCACACCGCCACCAGGGGGCATGCCGGGACACACACAGGCACACCGCCACCAGGGGGCATGCCGGGACACAGGCACACCGCCACCAGGGGGCATGCCGGGACACAGGCACACCGCCAGCAAGGGGCATGCCGGGCAGCACGGGTTGGGAACGGAAACGCTTGGCCACCAGACTGGCCAGTCAGCTGGCGTTCAATGCCAGCGATGGCGCTACCAGGGGCCCACATGCAAATCATGAAGCCAGGCGCAAGAGAGTCAGGGGGCAGCAGGCTTCAGCTCCTTTCACTCCACTACGAGCTCCACAGATAGAAATAGTCGATGCCCCAGCTCCCAGCCCAGGGAGCTGGAAGGAATCGGACACGTCCTGTGTCTGGTGGAATCAACACTGGTTCCTGCCCAGTAGCAGCATCCCCGTTCCCCGGGAGACCACTCGAGATGCACAGTCTCCAGCTCCACCCGGGATCTATTGAGTCATGCATCAGGGTGGGTCCAGCAGCCTGTGTGGGCATGGTCACCGGGGCTGCCTGCAGCCTGGCACCTGCAGGACAGCCGAGGGCTCCCGGAGGCTTGCTTCGAGTTAGGGAGGTAGAGTGGTCACTTACAAGAATGGTCATTACAGAGCAGCATGGGTTTGAGCTCCAGCTGCCTGGGCCCTGGGTGGTCCTCTGAGAAGGAGGCCAGTCATTCTCTCCACACCAGACATGTGGAAAGTAAAGTCATTCCGCCATGCCTCCTTGCTGTGGAAGGGCAGAGGCAGGACTAGAACCCACGCCCTGCTAACGGCAGGTCCAGGTTCCAACAACACCAGAATGATGTGGGGAACGGCTAGGCTCTCCACCACCTGGCTGTAACAAGGCAGTGCTCTGACTGATTGCTACAAGCATCTGGAAGCTGCTGCTGCTGCCCCCTCCCGCTGATTCCCCACAAGTCAGAATGTGTGTCCATTGTGCTCAGTGTGCTTTGAGGACAGTCTTAGGCAGTGCTCCGGACGGCACTGAAGGGGGTCTCTCGGAGCCTACACCTGTCTCATGGAGGCTCCTCCATGTGAGGAGGTCACCATAATCGGCAGACACAACTCCTGCCAGGTTGCACCCTGCAGTACACCCTGCGGGATAGGCAGAGCTAACAGCTAAGGGACGCGGCCCATGTCGTGCCAGGTCCTTGCCAGTCCCTTGATCAGGAGCTGGAAGTGGGGGCCAGATGCCCTCACACCTCCTGAACACAGAGCAGCGCTCAGCAGCGACCCATCGCCTGCCTGGGTTCAGATATAGGGGTGAGGCCTCAGCTCCATTGTTAGTGCCACTCATAGTGTGCCTATAAGGTCCAGCGCTTTGTAAAGAGGATACAAAGGGTTGCTTGCTGGCTGTTCCCATCTGTGTGATCTTATGGCCCCAACTCTGAAGAGAAGCTTACAAAGGTTCTCTTGGCTACAAATGAGGCCAGACTGCCTCCTGGCTTTCTAGGGGGGACTTCTATTGCACTTCTGATCCTCTGCTGATCAAGTTGGAAGTCTTAAGGCAAAGCCGCCAGTTCCTTCTAATGAATTGGACATCAGGCCGCCTGCAAGGGAAAGGCGCACACAGGCTGAAAAATCTAGTAGAGATTGGAAAGATGGAGGTTTGAGACCAGCCTGGACAAAACAATTAGAGAGAACCTATCTCAACCCGTAGCTGGACGTGGTGGTGAGCAGGTGGTGAGCAGCTACGTGGGTGAGGTGAATAGAGGACCCTCACCAGCTGGCCTAGGCAAAGAGTGAGATCCTAAACAACTAAAGCAAAAAGGGCTAGGAGTGTGGCTCAAATGGTAGAGCACCTGCCTGGTAAGCAGGAGGCCCTAAGTTCAAACCTCAGTACCACCAAAAAAGTTTTTAAACAAATTAAAAAGCTCAGCCCTCCCTCTTGGCAAGGTTCTACAGCCGGGTGCTGATGGCGGTGTGGCCGCGCGGGACGGGGTGCTGATGGCGGAGCGGCCCGCATGGGACGGGGTGCTGATGGCAGAGTGCCCGCACGGGACGGGGTGCTGATGGCAGAGTGCCCGCACGGGACGGGGTGCTGATGGAGTGCCCGCACAGGACGGGGTGCTGATGGCAGAGTGCCCGCACGGGATGGGGTGCTGATGGAGTGCCCACACGAGACGGGGTGCTGATGGCAGAGTGCCCGCACAGGACGGGGTACTGATGGCAGAGTGCCCACACGGGACGGGGTGCTGATGGCAGAGCGGCCCGCACGGGACGGGGTGCTGATGGCAGAGTGCCCGCAGGGGACGGGATGCTGATGGCAGAGAGGCCCGCACGGGATGGGGTGCTGATGGCAGAGTGCTCGCAGGGGACGGGGTGCTGATGGCAGAGTGCCCGCAGGGGACGGGTGCTGATGGCAGAGTGCCCCCACGGGACGGGGTGCTGATGGCAGAGTGCCCCCACGGGACGGGGTGCTGATGGCAGAGTGCCCGCATGGGACGGGGTGCTGATGGAGTGCCCGCAGGGGACGGGGTGCTGATGGCAGAGTGCCCCCACGGGATGGGGTGCTGATGGCGGAGCGGCCCGCAGGGGACGGGGTGCTGATGGCAGAGTGCCCGCACAGGACGGGGTGCTGATGGCGGAGCGGCCCGCACGGGACGGGGTGCTGATGGCAGAGTGCCCGCAGGGGACGGGATGCTGATGGAGTGCCAGCACGGGACAGGGTGCTGATGGCAGAGTGCCCCCACGGGATGGGGTGCTGATGGCGGAGCAGCCCGCAGGGGACGGGGTGCTGATGGCAGAGCGGCCCGCACGGGACGGGGTGCTGATGGCAGAGTGCCCGCACGGGACGGGGTGCTGATGGCGGAGCGGCCCGCACGGGACGGGCGTGGCGTGAACACCTTCACTGTCCCCAGCGAGGCTCTGCCTTGCTCACCCTCGCTGACCTCAGTGATGCTCATGGAGCTCCTTTCGCCCGCTCGCCGCAGCTCCTGACCAAGGACCCCGAGAGCCGCCTGTCCAGCCTCAGCGACATCCAGAGCTCGCCCTACTTGGCCGACATGAACTGGGATGCTGTGTTCGAGAAGACACTGATGCCGGGTTTCGTGCCCAATGTGAGTGCTGCGGTCTCGGCACTCAGCGTGACCCGTGACTGCCCGGTGACCGTCTGCCGGCCTCAGCCACGGGCGCAGCCACGGGCTCACTGCGATTCCAGGTGCACTTGGTCTTGAGTCCTCAGGTCTGATTTTGCAGGGTTTCCAGGAGGTGCCGAGGCTCCCACCACTGTCAGCCCAGGTGCACGGGGCAGGATGGGAGGTGGGATGGGGAGGGGGAGTCTCACTGGGGACAGTGAAGTGTCCTCGCTGTACTGGATTTGCATTTTAGAGGATGCTGGCGGCAGGAGGCTCCTCCAGGGTGCTCAGGAGACAGGTTGGCAGGTGTTGGGGCAGTGTAGTGCCTCCTGTAGTCCCTCCCTCTGCGCAGGGGCATCTTTTCCTGAAGGGTGGCACATGGGCCTCTCTGTGACCCGGAGGTGTACCCCCACAAACTGGCCCCGACACGGCACATTTGTGAGTCCAGCTTCTCCCATGGCCTGACCTCTGCCCTATAGGCACAGCCTGGTGGGCCCCATCTTCTCCTGGCAGCCAGGGGGCTTGACTGACCTACATCCGGTACCACAGAAAGCCTCCTGGATCCTCCCCATCCCCTGGCCCCAAATGCATGACAGCTTGTCAACCCTCGACCCGGTATTATTCCTGGACTGTGTGTGAGCGAACATGGCTCTGTGTGAGGGCTGCAGCTGTGTGGCTCTGTGTGTGTGTGGCTGTGTGGCTCTGTGTGTGTGTGGCTCTGTGTGTGTGTGGCTGTGTGGCTCTGTGTGTGTGTGGCTGTGTGGCTCTGTGTGTGTGTGGCTGTGTGGCTCTGTGTGTGTGTGGCTGTGTGGCTCTGTGTGTGTGTGGCTGTGTGGCTCTGTGTGTGTGTGGCTGTGTGGCTCTGTGTGTGTGTGGCTGTGTGGCTCTGTGTGTGTGTGGCTGTGTGGCTCTGTGTGTGTGTGGCTGTGTGGCTCTGTGTGTGTGTGGCTGTGTGGCTCTGTGTGTGGCTGTGTGGCTCTGTGTGTGTGTGGCTGTGTGGCTCTGTGTGTGTGTGGCTGTGTGGCTCTGTGTGTGGCTGTGTGGCTCTGTGTGTGTGTGGCTGTGTGGCTCTGTGTGTGTGTGGTTGTGTGGCTCTGTGTGTGGCTGTGTGGCTCTGTGTGTGTGTGTGGCTGTGTGGCTCTGTGTGTGTGTGGCTGTGTGGCTCTGTGTGTGTGTGGCTGTGTGGCTCTGTGTGTGGCTGTGTGGCTCTGTGTGTGGCTGTGTGGCTCTGTGTGTGTGTGGCTGTGTGGCTCTGTGTGTGTGTGGTTGTGTGGCTCTGTGTGTGGCTGTGTGGCTCTGTGTGTGTGTGTGGCTGTGTGGCTCTGTGTGGCTGTGTGGCTCTGTGTGTGTGTGGTTGTGTGGCTCTGTGTGTGTGTGGCTCTGTGTGTGTGTGGCTGTGTGGCTCTGTGTGTGTGTGGCTGTGTGGCTCTGTGTGGCTGTGTGGCTCTGTGTGTGTGTGGCTGTGTGGCTCTGTGTGTGTGTGGCTGTGTGGCTATGACAGACAGATGCACTCCAGGGACAAGAGCTGGCAGGTATGGCAGCTTCAGGGCCACGTCAGCCCCTCTCCGCCGTACTCCACTGGCGGGCCAGTGCCAGGTCCAAGCATAGGTGTCACCATCACCACTGCCCCTGGCACACAACACACAGGCACCGTGCTGTGCCAGGAGGTGAACGGAGGTGGTGCCGGGAGTCGGGGGCTGGGATGGCAGCAGGGTCTGTGTGCCAGCAGCAAGCATTCAGGGCAGGATAAACGTGGGAGAGTCTGACCAGTATCAGGGCTGCTCTGAGTCCCTGACTTCTTGAGATGACATTGACACCCCATTATTGTAATGATCAAAAACGCCAAGTGACCCAAGGGACAGAACTGCCCCATTGACAACACCAGGACTGGGGGTCCTGGCTGCTGTGTGGGCCCAAGACTCAGACTGGCTTTGACATCTCTGTGGTCAGTGCTCCTGCTTGGCCCTGCACCCCCCCAGGAGGAGGGACAAGCCATGAGCTCTCAAAGAGCCTGCACATGCCCGAGGAAGTACCCCACACTGACTGAATCCACGAAGACACCGCAGGCCCACGCTGGCTCCCAGGGCTTCTAGGGCTGCCTTTCTTCAGATGCACATTCTAGAAACTCAATGCACATTCACAGCCTCTGGTCTACAACTGACCAAGCCCAGATGTTCCACGCAGCCTCCCAGATGAACACACATTCTAACTCAACTTCCTGGGGCCATGTCTGAGATTCCCTGGGGCTGTGTGCCACGCGCCCTGGAGAATCTAAGGGCCAAGCTGAGGCATGGTGGACGGCCCTGCATGGTAGACCGGTGCCTGCCCCTGCAGCCCTGAGCTGCCAGTCCACAGACGTGGGCTTCACATAGAGAACCTGGGGTCTGAGGCCCAGCAGGCAGGGTGGGTAGAACCCCAGCTCTGTAGCAAGGCCAGTGCTGGAGATTCACTAGCTTCAACCCACAGGCAGCCAGGACAGAGAGCTGGGTGGACACCGACCAGAATGCTATTTTAACATTAAATTACTAAAAGTGGTTTTCGGCATTATGATCAAATAATTCGATTGTGTGGGAATGAGAAAGGTAAGGGATAATGAGGGGGCGGGGCTGTAGCTGTCAATCAGTGACATATGCAGGAGAATGTGGTGCTTGCGTCATCTCAGGAAAAGATAGTATCAACCAGTCCCACAGGGTAGTTGATCTTGATGCCTTCGACAAATGACTGAGTGTAGGGAAGGTAGACAAATGACCTTTTCTTTCCCTCATGCCTTCAGAAAGGGAGATTGAACTGTGACCCCACATTTGAACTGGAAGAGATGATTCTAGAATCCAAGCCACTTCACAAGAAGAAGAAGAGGCTGGCCAAGCACAGATCCAAAGACAGTACAAAGGAGAGTTGTCCACTGGTGAGTCGCTCGTGGGAGCTGTGTCCAGGATGAGAGGATCGAAAGCGCTGAGTGAGGCTCCCGTAGACAGCAGGGCGCTCCGTATCTTGCCCTGGGGTGCCACACTCCAGGGCCCCTCAGCTCCCTTCTACGTAATTGTAATTTGCATGCACACCCTCTCACACACCTGACATCATCTGCGCATTATTGGCAACACTCTACACAATACAAATTATGCGTGCATACCTGTTGCTTAGGGAACAATGACCGGAATCCGTGATAGATGCCTCAGTCCCAGGCCCAACCACAGATACGCGCAGTGGGTGCAAGAAACAATTCCAGCGGGCACTGTGGAATGGTGTGGCCCTGCGGAGCTTCCTGGATTTTCATTCCTGAATATGCTTGATCCACAGTGGGTGGGATCAGGGAACATGGAACCCACAGACGGGAAGAACTGGCAGAAAATGGAGCGCCACCATCATACACACACGGCCTTTCAGAGCACACTCCTGGGCAGGGATGGGCACGGGAGGCCCACGCGCCCCTGCCTCTGGTGATTGAGGCTCCGCAGCAATAGGCCGCAGGAAGGTTGAGCTGACGTGTTTTATGTGTGGAGGTACCTAACTCTGTGGTCACATAGTGGAAAAGGCAAATGAGCTTTAGAATTATTTTACTGACACAAACTCTTCATGATATAATTACCCTCCACCAAGTTTTCACACGCTAGTTTTTTTTTTTTTTGAGTTGAGGTTTTATCATATAAATGGTAGGGAGACATAAACATTCTGAGCATAGTTTGTACTCAAAGTTCTAGCAAATGTTTACTGGCTTACAGTGGGGAGTCATTTAAAATACTGTAAATTGCCATCTCAAAGGGTTCAAGATTT